TATACACAATGGAATTCTATGCCTCCATCAGAAAGAATGACATTGCCCCATTTGTTAGGAAATGGAAAGGCTTGGAAAAAATTATATTAAGTGAATTAAGCCAGGCCCAAAGAAACATAGGTCCCATGGTTTCCCTTATTTGCAATAACTAGTATATATTTGAGACAAGCAGTAAAGGTCAGATAAGATGGTGTTAAGCGAAATGAACCCCAAGATAAGGACACAAGTGTTTTTTTTCTTTCTTGCTATTGTTTCTAACATATTTATAAGATACCAGTGATTTTTTCGTCGCTCTGTATGTACCTCCCCGACAGGATAACCCCTGGTTTTACTGTATTTGTTGGTATAACTTGGGGAGTGGAAGGGAGAAAACAAATTATTTAAATAGGGATACAGGCTGACCCATTAAAACAATGAGATGTACAAGACACTATGTCGAAAAACAAACTTTACATTTAAGCAGGAAGGCGGAGGGTAGGGAGAATGTAGTTGGGGAGATGGGAGGGAAGGGATGGTAGGGGAAAAACAAAGGAGGCGGCAAAATGCTTGATGAGAAATGTACTCATTACCTTGCTCATGTGATTGTAATCCCTCTGTACGGTATTTTCACAATAAAAAACTTATTTAAAAAACAATAAATAATTTTTAAAAATCCTCACTCATCTGATGTGTGTGTGCCATAATCTAATTTTCATTTTCTTTATTGAACAATGATGGAACTTATGAGGAAGTATATTAAGTCAGTTCTATTAGCCAACTAAAATAATTTTGCCCATTAGAATATGCCAAAAATACACACAACTAAGTCTCTTCTTCACTTACAATTTTTTTCATTATAAAATCATTTACTCATTTGTAAAGACTAATCATATTTACACAAAAGTGTGAATTCCAACATAGAACTCCCCAAGAACCACTTACTGACACAGTCACTGAAAATGATCTGTTAGACTTACTATTTGTTTAATTAATTAAATTTTCATTTGCAGAAACTGTGTCAGTGATACAAAATATCATTTTGGTAGCCTTAGCATTAACTAGCAGAAGTGCTGGTAAACATACCATTTAATTTTCAGATCTCTTTCTGTAATAGCTGACTCCCCAGGTTAGTGTCCTGGTAATAATGAAAAGTTTAGAGAGACTATCCTAATTTTTTGTGCCATATTTGCTGAGTGCAAATTTCAAATGCAACTTTTGGTTTGCTCTACAAAAATGGATCTGGGTCTTTTCAATATTTTTCTTTTAGCAGCTGACATGATATGATGCATCAGCAGCAGACAATGTGAATCAAGGCCCTGGGCCTCCAGCTTCTGGTTTGCGATTTCACAGGCTCTGGTGAGAACTGCATGCAGCTTCTCTGGTGCAGATTGGATCAAAACTGATACTGATTATTATACAAGCTGCCACTGTGTATACCACAGCAATAGCCATGAATTGAAAGAGACTTTAAAATTATTTCAGGACATTGTAATATGAAAGTTTTTTTTAAGTTAGAGCACTAATTTCTTTACAGAGCATATTCATTTAGGATTTGTTTCCACTACTAAGTGAAATTAACTGACATAAATCACTGCCTTCTGTAAAATTTATACATTCTTTAAAGCCAGAAAAATTAAAAAGCTATGATTTACATTATGAGCTAGACCATTAAACTTTAATATCATTTATGATCTTAACTGGTTTATATTTAAAAATATTAATAATCAGATATTAGATGTTTGCTTTTAAGTAATAGCTGAGATTAGACTAAATTAGGATATTTATATTATAGTGAAATTAAACAATATTTCTTCTTGTGATATTATTAAGACATAAAATCCTATTGTGGTATTTGATGGAACATTATTTATATAAGCTCAAAAATATGGAAGATCAAATACTAAGAGGAATAGTGAGCATATATATGTATAAATATACATATATATATATATGTATAGTTAAAATTTCCCTGAAAAAAAATCGGTTTCATAGTCAATGAAAAAGAAGCCACAAGCCTGGTGCCTGTGACTCACGCCTGTAATCCTAGCTACTCAGGAGGCTGAGATCTGAGGAACGCGGTTCAAAGCCAGCCCAGGCAGGAAAGTCCGTGAGACTCTTATCTCCAATAAACCTCTAGAAAACCGAAGTGGCGCTGTGGCTCAAGCGGCAAGTGCTAGCCTTGAGCTGAAGAGCGCAGGGACAGCATCCAAGCCCAGAGTTCAAGCCCCACGACCGACCAAAAACAAAGATGCTACATGTCCTGTAAGGAAATCAGAGCTAAAAAGAAACAGAAACATTGCTCATTTTATATTTCCTCTAAGGTATCTCATAAGATTTTAGAATGACAGGAGAGAGACAAAAACATCCCCAAATGATCATTGATGGGAATAATTTTGTCTTGAGGAAAACACTGAACCATGGACGTGTCTTTGGCTAAGTCTACTGGAACGTGAACCTATTTCACATGATGTAGAAGGTGGGCGAGCAAACCGTGAGTTATGCAGATGTTTGCTTGTGACTGACTTCATTCTGAAATGTGTGGTAGACCACTATTTTTAAGAAATTGCTGATGTAGTTTCAAGATAATAGGAATATTTCTTTCTTTTTAGGTGCTAGGAAATGATAAAACAAATAGCAATGCACTGAGAACTGATTCTCTTGATAGAAACCCCACTTTAAATGACAGCTAATTGCATTTCCGTTTAATAAGTTCAAGTG